CAAATTAGCCAGACATACTAGAGTACAAATGTATATATTTGCTTGCAACCAGGATTTGTTATGTAGCTGTAGCTGACCTTAAAGCTCAACTTCCCCCTCTTTAGCAGTCTTATATCTGGACTTACTGTAGGCATGTACCTCTATAACTCACTCTAGAATATAAACTTCTTATAAAGAGAGAAACCCCTCAGTAAACTTTTTAAAATTAAGAATAAAGTCTTAAACCATTTCCCATTTTATAGCAACTGTCCTGTGTAAATTGAGCCCTTAAATATTGCTTTTTTTTTTAAATTTGAGAAGCTAGGTATGGAGGTGTATGCCTTTAATCTCATCACTTGGGAGGCAGGGGCAGGTGAATCTCTGAGTTCAAAACCTGCCTGGTCTACGTAGGAAACACCAAGACTTTCCAGAGAGATTTTCTCTCTCTCTCTCTCTCTCTCTCTCTCTCTCTCTCAAAAAAAAAATGGGTTCATGAGATAGCTCAGTGTGTAAATATGACTGTTATTCAAGCCTAGAACCTTAGTTTGATCTCTGGAACCCACGTAAAGGTAGAAGGAGAAACCCCAATCTCACAAAAGTGTCCCTGACCTCCTTATGAGCCCTGTGGCACATATGTGCCCAAGAATGTAGACTGTCTTAATTAGGGTTTCTGTTCCTCTAACGAAACACCATGACCAAAGCAATCTGGGGAGGAAAGGGTTTGTTCGGCTTACACTTCCATGTCGTTATTCATTATTAAAGGAAGCTGGGACAGGAACTCAAACAGGGCAGGAACCTGGAGCAGGAGCTGATGCAGAGGTCATAGAAGGGTGCTGCTTTCTGACTTGTTCTTCATGTCTTGCTTAGCCTGCTTTCTTATAGAACCCAGGGGTTGCACCACCCACTATGGGCTAGGCCCTCCCTCATCATTAAGAAAATGCCCTATAGCCAGATTTTATGGAGGCATTTTCTCAATTGAGGTTCCCTCCTTTCAGTTATTTCTAGCTTGTATCAAGTTGACATAAAACTAGCTAGCACACACACCATACAAGCATACACACACACACACACACAAGCTTAAAAATGGGGGTGTTAAGACAGGAGGCCTACTAGTTAGTTTCATTGCCACACTGACCTATACAGTGAGACCATAACTTGGTAGGTAAGTAAGTAAGTAAATAGAATTAGAGATGGCACTGGGATGGAGCTTTATTAGAAATGGATTGCCAAGGCTCTGGATGTCATTCTTAGCACTGCAAAAACTAACAACTTAGTTCAGCACAGCATTAGCTTGATGTGCTGTCTTATCTGAGACAGATAAAATTGCAGGGGTGATTTACTTTTCCAATAATATGATGAATTGATATTTAGACCAGGATTAGAATTCAGGCATTCTCTCTCCATTGTATTGCTCTTCCAACTGTACCACATTAGCTTTTTGTACTTGCCAGTTTTTGTCTTACCTCATTGGATTGCTGGCTGCATGCTTGCCATTCCAGTTGTAAGCCTGCTGTTACTGCCTAGTTTTCTTGAAATGAGCATGTTTTACTTTCTACATTCTACCTCTTGACCTTGGTTGGTAAAAAGCTGGAAATTTCAAGGGGCTTTATGGGTGGCAGACAGGAGGGAGGGCTCATCAGTTAAGAGGACTTGTTGCTTTTATGGTGGACCTGTGTTCAATTCCCAAGACTCACATGGTGACTCAACCATCTCTAGCTCCAGGTCCAGGTGATCTGAGACTCTCTTCAGAACCCCTTGGCACCATGCACATACATGGTGCACAGACATACATGCAAGCAAAGCATTCAGAAACATAAGTAAATCTTCTAAAAGACAGAGAGCAATGGAGAGGTATGTAAGGGTCTTGGCCCAGTTAACAACGTAAAAAGAACACTTGCTGTGTAATCAGTAGACACAAATGGGACCTCAGCGCCTATGAGCATGCCTGTGACTCAGGCTGCAAAGGCGCAGAGACTGGAGAATTGGGGAAACTTTCTTATACCAGACTAGCAGAGAAAGAGCAAAGCCCAGGTTCAGGAAGAAAGACATTGCCTCAAAAGAGTAGGTTGAGTGAGGTAAAGGAGGCTATGCAGAGAGACACATACGTACAAATAAGAATTAAAACCCCAAAACCAAAATGACAAAAACAAAATGACTTTAAGCTGGATGGTTGGTGCCTCCTACTTTCTGTTTAAGATGTAGAACTCTATAGCCTTCAATCCCAGCACTCAAGAGGCTGAGGCAGGTAGTCTCTGAATTTGAGCCTGGTCTACAATGTGAGGGTGGGTGGGGTACAGAGAAACCCTGTCTCAAAAAAACCAACCAACCAAAAAACAAAACTACCAAACAAGCAAACAAACCTTTAAATACACTGATTTGTTTGGTTTTGGTTGGCATGGTTTTTTTTGTTTGTTTGTTTGTTTTTTTTGGTGTTGTTTGTTTTAAGACAGGTTCTCCTGTAGCTTGGGCTGGACAGTGAACTCCCTCTGTAGCTGAAGGTGATCTTGAATTCCTAATCTTTCTGCCCACACTTCCCAAGTTTTAGCTTTGCGAGTGTGTCACCACACCTGCTTTATGTAGTGCTGGGGCTTGGACTCAGGGCTAAATGTATGCTAGACAACTTCATGAGTGTTAGTAACTGAGCTATATTTCTAGCCCTGAAATACACTCTTAGGCTACTGGAATTATCTCTAAATATAGGTATGTCTCTTGAACATACATTTCCTTATTCTATCTTAAAAACAAAACCCTCTCATCATCTATTTTTCTTAATATTTTAATTCTTCTAATTATAAAGAAAGGCACAAAGATTACTTAAATATTAGGACGTTGTGTTTCCCAGTGAAGCAGAAAATGAAATTTAGGATTACTAAGATGCAAAAGGTCTCTTCTTTTTTTGCGTGTGTAGTTGCTCCTAGGTTTTTTTTTGTTTCTTGTGTGTGTTTATGTGTATTGTGTGTGTTGTATCTATTTTTAAAATATAGTATACAATTGTACAGTTGAGTGTGTGTGCGTGTGTTATATGTACTTTTTTATGTAGTGTGTATGTAAGCACACATTGAGGCGAGAGGGAAACGTGGGCTATCTCCTGTATTGCTCTCACTCTGCCTTTATTTTCTGAGATAGAAACTCTCTGAACCTGAAGCTCATGAGCTTCCTCCTCTTTTATCCCCTGAGTGCTGTGTTTACAGGTGTTATGCTTGGCTTTTAATGTGTGTTCTGGGGATCCAAACTCAGGCTCAGTCCTATCCTTAGTCTTTAAATTTAGTCTTAAATACTAATAGATTTTATTAGAGAAGTCATGGAAAACATAAAAATAAAAAATGCCATTCATAATATTCATTATCCAGGATTAGCTACCCTTAGTATTTGGATGGATTTGATTTTAGTTTCCATATGTCAATAGTTAAATTGAAATTTAGGTAATAATATTTTAGTTTCTTGTGTCTTTTCATTAAGGATTATATTGGGAGTCTTTGCCACTATCATTATGGAATCTTAAAACTGTGAATGATGGGGGTTGGAGAGATGGCTCGGTGGTTAAGAGCACTGACTGCTCTTTCAGAGGACCCAGGTTCAATTCCCAGCACCCACATGGCAGCTCACAACTGTCTGTAATTCCAGTTCCAGAGGACCTGACACCAATAGCAAAACACCAATCGATGCACATAAAATAAAAAAAAAATTAAAAAAAGAGTTGATTCTCTCTCTCTCTTTTTTAAACGTGAATGATAGCCAGGCAGTGGTGGCGCACACCTTTAATCCCAGTACTTGGGAGGCAGAGGCAGGCATATCTCTGTGAATTCGAGGCCAGCCCGGTCTTCAAAGTGGGTTCCAGGACAGCTCCAAAACCTTGTAAAAAACAAAAACAACAACAAAAAAGTGAATGATGAGGCTTTATTAGGTTATGAAAAACAAAAGTACTTAAGGGGATTTAAGAAGTAGAATTTTATTTAAGAATGCTTTGGGGGATGGGGCTGGAGAGATGGCTCAGCAGTTAGGAGTATAGGCTGCTCTTTCAGAGGACCCAGGTTCAACTCCCAGCACCCACATGGCAGCTCACAGCCGTCTATAACTCCAGTTCTAGGGGATTTGATGTCTTCACACAGATGTGCACACAGGCATGGACTTAGTGGTTTACTCTTTTTCTCTGTACTGTCTTCTGCTCCTGGACTAATGCCCTATCGTGGTGGTTTGCGTACTTGATCATTCCTGCTCTGCTGTTGCAGTGTGACCTGCTGACTACTCCTTCCCTGGACAGTTTCTGCTTTCTTCTGTCAGCTGTTCTTGACTTTCAGGCTTCACAATTTCACTGCATCTTGACTTAAACTTAAGTCCTTTTTGTATATTTCAGCCCTTACCAGTGAAACCATCTATTAATTAATACCTTATACTCAGAAATGTCACAGTTGCACAGGCCTGTTTGGTCCTACCACCCCCATGCTGCTTGCCAGTGCTGGGTTGAAGTGATCTTGAAACAAATGCTCATTTGTGGGCTCATTGTCCAGAGTTCAGAGTCCTAGTTTGTTGTTCAAGTAATGAGCTTGCTTAATGGACTGTCTTGTCTAGTGTATGTGATTTTAGCTGTAATACATTATCAGATGTGGTGCAATTAATATCATTTATAAAATGCTCATATCTTACAATTTTCATTCCAGAGTGAAATAAATGGAAGCAGTTGGGTTGTAGTTTGGTATTTAAAAGGCAAAATGCACTATGAATTCAAAGCAGTGAAAGCTAGAAAATTTGCTATCTGATTAAAATATGCTTTGATGCTTTTAAGGTATACGTGATAGCTCAAATGAAATAAACCATTCTTTTACTTATTCTTTTGTGTATATATTGTCCCTCATATAAGTTTTGATTCCATTGGAAGTCATTGCATGCTACATTTTGTAAGTTGCTCGTTATGATGATTTTGTCTTAGACCTTAATTCTGTTCATTTCACCTTTAAGTTAGGTAGTTCAAACTTTTGTTCTGTTGCCACGGTGTCATATAATAACATTTTTTCTTTTAACAGATTTGGACTGAGCAACAAATTTGAGTCAGAATTCCCATCTTCATTAACTGGAAAGGTGAGTGTCTCTCTCTCTCTCTCTCTCTCTCTTTTTTTGTTTTTGTTTTTGTTTTTGTTTTCGAGACAGGGTTTCTCTGTGTAACCCTGGCTGTCCTGAAATGTTCTCTCTGTAGACCATGCTGGCCTCAAACTCCGAGATCACCTGTCTCTGCTTCCGGGGGATTAAAAGTTTACGCTACCACTGCCCAGCGAGTGTCTCTCTTACTGATCTACTGTTTATATATCTCAAATTAGTTTTCCTTAGAAATTAGAAAAATGTGTGCTGAGTCCCATTTCTGTCATTCAGCATCTCAGTTACATTTCTTACTGTCCTGTAGGTAGCTCCTGAAGAATTTAAAGCCAGCATCAACAGAGTTAACAGCTGTCTCAGGAAGAATCTTCCTGTGAATGTACGGTGGTTGCTTTGTGGCTGCCTGTGCTGCTGCTGCACATTAGGCTGCAGTATGTGGCCAGTTATTTGCCTCAGTAAAAGAGTAAGTTGAATTACATCTTTTAATTTACTTTAGAAGTGTGAAACAAATCTCGTGTTTACTTTTTTTTCTGTTGAATGAGTCACACTGTTCCGAATATTATACAAAAATAATCTGAGCTGGTTAAGCAAGATTAATTATCATATATTTACATGTTATAAAATAGCTATGAGGAAACTGTTCATAATTTCTGTGCATTAGGAAATTGTGGCCAAAGAAGAATGCAGCACTATGTGTACATTAATTATGGACTAGAGTGGTACAGTGTTCATGGATGCTGGGTTCAACTCTACCTCTTCCCTGTGTCTATGGGCATAGTTCTTAACCTCTTTAAATCTGAATGATAAGACTGTAAATGTTAATATTCACCTATGACTTGAGTAGAATTGTTGTACGGACACAATGGAATCTTATATATAAAGCTTTTAGCTGAACAGCATATGAGAAATTCTGTCAGCTTCGATGCTGTTTCATATACAAGAGAAACCGTTTAAGGGAGGCTCCTGGTTTTAGAGATTTTAGTTCATGAACTGCTGTGCTAGCTCCATTACTTCTCATGGTAGCTGAGCAGAGCTCCTTGCCTTACAGTTGCCAGGCATCAGAGAGGGAAGAAGGGGATTGGAATAAGATGTAGCCCTGAGAACAGAACCCTATCCATTCCACTAGCTCCCATCTCTAGGTATTTGAAACACTTTCCAAAGGTCATCATATTCAGAATAATCCACTGATTAGGTCATATTCCTTATGCTCCAGGTCAACTTTGAGTGTACAGGATCTCCCAAGCAAGTGCTCTAGCATTGATTAAGCTATTGCCACAGCTCTCTGTTTACTTTTTACAATCTTATTTTGTGTATATAGTATTTTGACTGTATGTATTATAGGCACTACATGTGTCCCTGGTGCCAGTAGAGATCAGAAGAAGGTGTCAGATTCCCTGGAACTAGAGTTACAGGTGCTTGTGAGTGCTGTGAATTTAACCCTGGTTCTCTGCAAGAGCAGCCAATGTTTCCAACCACCAAGTCACCTCTCTAGTTCCTAATGTATGAGCGTTTAGAAGAATACTTCAAATCCAGCCCATAATAGAAGTTGTCAGTAAGGACTGATTAACATTACTAGTGTGAGAGTACCCATAGAGGAAATAAAATGGTTACAGTAGATAATAGGGAGCTCACTTCAATTTTATACTTTATAGGTTCTCGATAATGAATATACACTGACTGTGTGATTAGGAAAAATAATCCAAAGCTTGATTTTCACTGCTTATAATGAAAAGATTTCAAGATGTTGGATATAGATATGCCAAAATAATGCAAATTAAAAGTTGTTGTTATTATTTTTAAAAAAATATTGTCTTACTCTGTTGACTTGACTGGCCTGGAACTCACTGTGTAGATCAGGCCAGCCTTGAACAAAGAGATTACCCTGCCTCTGCCTCCCAAATGCTCTAGGCATCTGCCACCATGCCCAACATAGCACCCTTGTTTTTGTTATCTTAAAATATAGATATACTTACACATATTAAAGGGAAATAATATTCAGCCATGTATGGTAACTCACATATGAAATCCTAGCATTCAAGAGGCTGAGACAGGAAGGAAGATCATGAATACCATGACATAGTATGTTAAGGCCAGCCTGGAAAACCAAAATGGGCTGGAAGGTGGGAGGACCAGTCAACCAAGTGAACTTGACTGTTTTCCTATGGAAACATTTAATTTTGGTGGCAAATAATGGCAAGGAAATGCAATTTATTACTTCATTTCTATTATAAAGTTAGGGGTATACTCTATTGAAAAATTTAGGCTAAAACTAATATATTTTATTGATAAAATGAACTTGATGTCTTTATAATAGAATTACTTATGTATTATTTATTATGACATTTGGCATATTTACATTTCTTTGAAAATGTTTATTATTAGTGTGTTGAGCTGGAGAGGTGCAGGCACTGGAGGTCAGAGGGGCCACTGGAGTCAGTTCTTCCCACCTTTAAGTGGGACATTGAGTGAGTGCATGTGGCCGGGACTTCTTTTGCTGACCCTACTTTCTCTAAGCCCTTTTTTACCCCCATAATTTTTACCAGATTGTCTCTAGGTCACCAAATGATACTTTATTTGCCACTTGTATATGTTCCTTTTGCAGTATTGGAGACTGTGACGTGGCCCAGTGGTAGAGTGCCTTCCTACTATGTGCAAGCCTTCAGCTTCTAGCACCACAAAAATAAAGCAAAGCAAGAAATAAAAGATAAAGTTTGCCCTCTGCCCCTTTGGTTTTGGCATGGTGTCTTTCTGTGTAACTCTGTCTGGCCTCAAACAGAAAGATCTACCATAATCTTCCACATGTTGGGATTAAAGCCACATGCCATCATGCCCAGTCTTTTTACTTTTTCTTTTTTTTAAGAGCACAAACCCATTTTTATTAATTTGTCATTAGTTTAAATCTTTGAGGGAGATAGCATCACACAGATTCTTATCCAATGGCTTTAGTAGGAAGTTTGCTTTGGAATTTGATACAATTCATGCTATTGTTTCCATGGACTCTGGTAATCCCAGATTATACTGACTTTGTTCAGTTTGTCATCTGGAGGATTATGTTACTGTTTGCTTTGAACAAGTCCTATCTTTTACACAAGCAGAGTTTGATTTCATCTTAGGCATAAACACTTTATTTTTAGACCAGCTATGTGCTCCCTTTGGTTTGAGACCTCCACCTACAGCCACTTTATAAGTAGCCTCATAGACGTCTAGGCATATTTGCCTTTACAGTTCCTGTCCTCAGCAGACTCCAAGATAGAGGAAAGGATACCTTGCATATTTAAAAATGATTATTTGTTGGGATGGGAATGTTTTTTAGTGATGAAGTGCTTACTTAGCCTTTAGAAGGCCCTGGTTTAGAACCTCAGCACTGAAGAGGGGCAGAGAATGTGAAAGTTAATATTTTTAATATTTTAAAAGTTTGTTTAGTGTGTGTGTGTGTGTGTGTGTGTGTGTGCCTGTATGAATTTATGTGTATCACATGCTTGCAGGAACCTATGGAGGCCAGAAAAAAGGGTATCAGATCTTCTGGAACCAAAGTTAACAGGTAGTCATTAACCTCATGTGGTTACTAGGAAGTGAACTCCAGTCCTTTGCAAGAGCAGCAAGTGCTCTTAACCTCTGAGCTATCTCTCCAACTTTGAATGTCATACTTTTTAAAAATGGTTGTTTGTTGTTGTTGTTGAATTTAGACAGGGTCTTATTATGTAACCCAATTGAAACTTGAACTTAGGATTCTCCTGCCTCAGCCTTCCGAGTGTTGAAAGTATAAAGCATGCACTACTATGCCAGGCTTGAGAATGGTTAATGTAATCCTGATGTCAGTACCTTGTTAGATATATGTCAGTATTATTTTTCTACTATATAGCCTGTCTTTCCTATTCTCTTAACAGTGTCTTTGGCAGAGCCAAAGTTTTGATTTTGTTGACGTCTAGTTCATCAGTTTTTGCTTTTTTTTTTTTTAAAAAAAGTGCTCTTATGCCAGGCGCACATATTCCAGCCCTTAGGAGGCAGAGTAGGCAGATCTCTGTGAGTTCAAGGACAGCCTGGTCTGCATAGTGAATTCCAGAACAGCCAGGGCTTCAGAGCGAAACTTTGTCTGGAAAAAAAGAAAAGAAAAATATAGTGCCTTTATTATTATATTTAATATTTTTGCCTAAGGCAAAGTTGTGAAGATTTTTGATCTTCTGCATTTTATGTATAGCTTTTTTTTTCTGTGTTTATTTATTTATTACAAACCAATCCCAGCTCCCCCTCCCTCCTCTCCTCCAGTTCCCCACCACCACCTTCTTGGGCTCCTAAAAGAGGGTAAGGCCTCCCCAAGAAGTCAAACTAAGTCTGTAGCTTTGACAAGATCAAAGTTCATGTTTTGGCATATGACTTTCTAGGCTTTATAGCACCTTCTTTTGAAAGACTATTCTTTCAATATTTAATGGGCAATCATCATATTTGTATGTAACTGTTTTTGGACTTCACTGTGTTCCACTTGTGTTGACCTTAATATCACACTGTGTTATTTACTGTAGCTTATTTACTTTAGCTTAATGTTCAGTGGGGGGAGTCTTGCAAATTTGTCCTCCCCCCTGTTTTTAGATGGACTCTTCATGTGGCCCAGACTAGCCTTGAGCTTCCTATGTAGTAGATGACCTTAATCCTCTGCTCTTGCCTCCATCTATCAAATGCAGGGATCACAGGCATGTGTTACTGTACCTGGTTTATCAGGAGCTGGGCAGCCAACTCTGTTTCCTGCAACTTAGGCAGGACTATATCAGCTGAGCTACATTTATTAACTGTGAAATTTTGTTTTTTTCAAGATTTTTTAGGGGGTTATTTTTTTTCATGTAAACTTTTAAGTTCAATTTATTAAAAACTACAAAAACTAATGGATTTTTTTGAGATTTATTTTTATTTTATGTGTATGTCTGTGTATCATGTCAATGCTCATGATCCTGTGAAGATTCTAAACTTTACTGGTGCTTGATACAGTCTAGAACTGAAGTCCCCAATGTAAAGACAGAAATCATTTACAAAAACCGAATTGTAAAAGAGAATAATACAGTGTCATTTTTCACTGAGGAAAGAACTCGAATTTTAGGAGCTGGAAGGATGCTCAGTAGTTAAGAGCAGAGGACCTGAATTTGTTTCCCAGCACCCATGTCACACAGCTCACAACCACTTGTAATGCAAGCTTCAGGGACTCTGATGTCTGATGGCCTTTTTCTGCTCTTCACTGGCACCTGCATTCAGTGTGCCCACATTCATGTGCCACCCCCATAATTAAAAATAAATCTTTAAAATATTTTTTATTTAAATTTTTTGTTTGTTTGTTTGCTTGTGTTTTTGAGACAGGGTTTCTCTGTGTAATAGTCCATGCTGCCCTGGAACTAGCACTTGTGTAGGCCACGCTGGCCTTGAACTCAAAGAGATCCACTTGCCTCTGTGTCCTAATTACTGGGATTAAAGGCATGC